TGCCCAGTCAGCCGCTCGCGTGCCCGCGTCTCACCGACACGAGTGCAGAATTTTCCATGCACTGCTCACACGGGCACTTGCTTATTCGACCGGCGCCTCTGCCGTCCTCCGCTCCTCGGGAGGATCCCATCTCGCTCCACTCTGGCTGATGAGCCTGTTCCAGCTGCCATCCTGGGATTTTCCTTTGTCATCACCCTGGGCGTTCCTCTTGCTCTTCTCTTAGGTTGGAGCCCTTGTTTATTGAATTGCCTGTCTTCTTTCTCAGCCTGGTGGAGCATTGCTTCTAGCTTCCTAAGAAAGAATCTCTGGGAGGTAAATTTTTAGGTGTCTGTATTATAAGGTCTAAATATTTCTTTATTGTAATTGTCATCCTTAAGTGATTTTTTTTGACTGCACGCAGAATTTTAGGTTGGAAATAATTCCTTAGAGTTTTGGAGACATTGCTCCTTTGTCTTCTAGCTTCCAGCATTCCTCTTGAGAAGTTTGAAGCCCTTCTTACTTCTGAGTCATACGTGATCTGTTTTTCTGTCTTGAAACATTTAGGATCTTCTCTGTATGCTCGGTATTTCTTTAGAAATTTCATGATAACATACATTGGTATGGCTCTGCCTCTATCTATTATACTTAGCACTTGGTGGCTTCTTTCGATTTGGAAACTTACATCCTTCAGTTCTAGAATTTTCCTGAATTATTTGATTTCTTCTTTGTGTTTTCTCTTTCTGGAATGCTTGTGTTTCTGGATTTAAGACATGTTTTTCTCTCCTTCCTTCTCTTTGTCCATTTGCCCTAATTTCTGGAAGATTTCTTGAACTTTATTCTCCCGTCCTTCTATAGAGTTTTTCATTTCTGCTGTCATAGTTTGTGGTGTTCATTCTTATGATCAGTTCCTTGAAAAATATTATGCTCTTGTTTCATGGATACAAGTAGCTTTTATCTTTTTGTGGGTATTAGTAGTAGTTTTTTCTAAGTTTTCATATTCCTGTAAAATTACTGTTTTTCTCTTTGTTGGTTTTGGTTTCTGTCTGCTTTTTAGAGCTATTCCTTAGCTATTTGATCTTTGACTGTCGCTCATATTTAAGAATGCATCTCTGAAAGTTGATTGGGAATCATGAACTTATTTGTTGTGGTTTCCCTTTGGATTATTTGACCGTCATGTTTTGATGGTGAACTCCTGATGGCAGAGTATTTATGTCTTTTGCCTTGATCTGGTTGGGTGTTTAGAGAAAAATCTTCAGTCTGCTACTTGTCAGGTATAAACCTGGCTGGCAAGTTCTGGGATGATGGCAGGCAGAAATCTCAACATCTAGAATATAGTCTTTTAGTGTCCCACTTTTCACTGTTCAGACCCTACTCTCAGTTGTGTTTGATGTAGAATAGGCCTCTATTGTTCCCTCAGAACAGGAGCACAGTTCACCTGGAGTGCAGAGTCGTGGCAAGAGATATCAATGAACTTTTAAAGCGATCCCTTGTCTTAGCTTCACCCTTACCAAAATGTACCTGGTGTCCACACTTCTTGAGCTTTTAGGAGTTCTGTGGTGTGATTGGGTTGCTTGGTTTTTCCCACCACGGGCTCAGAATTTAATTTTTTTTTTTTTTTAGTTGGAGTCTCACTTTTTGTTGCCCAGGCTGAAGTGCACTGACACGCTCTTGGCCACCGCAGCCTCAACCTTTTGGGCTTAGGCGATCCTTCTGCCTCTGCCTTTCAAGTAGCTGTGACTACAGATGCATGCCACCATGCCCGGCTAGTTTTTTGTGATTTATTGTAGAAACGAGGTCTCACCAAGTTGCCCAGGTTGGTCTTGAACCCCCGGGCTCCCAAAGTGCTGGGATTACAGGCTAAGCCACCATGCCCGGCCAGAATTTAATTTGTTCTTTTTTTTTTTTTTTTTTTGAGTTGAAGTCTCACTCTGTCACCCAGCCTCGACCTGCTGGGCTCCGGCGATCCTTCTGCCTCAGCCTTCCGAGTAGCCAGAATTACAGGCATGCGCTACCACGCCTGGCTGATTTTTTGATTTATTGTAGAGATGAGGTCTCGCTGCCCAGGAGGGTCTTGAACCCCATTTCTTTCAGCATCACTGTTGTCTCTACTCACCTGTGCCTGCAACTTGGGAGTAACCTCTCTTTTCACTTAAAATGTATTTATTGAATACTTATTGTATGCCAGATACGATGCTAGACATGTGGGTTCTAAACACTAAAAAAGACAAGAGTACACTTCCCGATCCGAGCTGCTCAGAAACAAGTTGGGGAGAAAGGTAGGTGAACAGAGGAACCATGAAGCTGGTAAAAGTTTATGGAGGACACTCCAAGAGCAGACAAGGACTGTTGGGGAAGGTTCACATGCCTGATGCTACAGCCAGGTTGAACTTGTCCTCCCTCTCCGTTGTCTTTGCTTTCCTGTTCTGTGCTCTAGCTTATGCTGATCCCTCACCCTAGGCTCCAGGCCTCAGGGTGTGCCTCCTGTCTTGTCCATGTTGGAGTTCTGTCCCTTTTAAGTTGGTGTGAAGTGGGCTGAGATTCGAGGAGTAGAGTGCGGCGGCCACCTCTCGCGCACCGTCTCCTCCATCCTTCAGCTTGAATGCACCTTCTTGTGGTGTGTATCATTTCCTTTCTAACCAAAGAGCATAAGAAGCTTGTCTTCTTTTACTGGCCCTTAAGATCCTTGAGGAGCTTGTCTATATCTGATTCATTTATATAATCTAAAAGTGAATAGCATAGAGCTTAACAAATGTGTTAAATATGATAAACCCCTGCTGCGTCTCTTCAAATCAAACTAAGACTGCTTCCCACTCAGAAATTTTTTAAACTCTTCCTTTGTCCTCCTTTATTCATGTCTTGGTATCAAAATGTGATTGCAGAGCACAGAGCACTAGCAGCAGGGGACAGACACTACTGCGCTCTTGGTGAGAACGGCCTGCGTGGTTGTGGCCTTCCCACAGCGCTGTTAAGCCAGTATTGCTGGCTGGTTTGCACTGATACAGTGACATGTAGTAAGCAGAGGACTTGCAAAATGATGTTAGATAACAGCATTTCAAGGTCATAGCCTCCTAAAGCTTTTACCTTCTGAGATGATGAGAACTGTAAAATTCTGCTCTGCTCCAAATGACTCCGTAATTATTTAGTCTTTTGTAGGGTATCATGATAAGCTTGAGAGATTTTTAGGCTCTGATGGTAAACCCTTTCAAACTACAAATTTTATTTAAAAATTGACATTTAAAGTATACAAAGGCACAGGGTGCACAGGGTCCCTGGATGCAGGGCAGTAACTTGCTCAGAGCGAAATACCGGTATTCGTTTATGTGGCCCCTTGATCTGTGGGATTTCATCACTACCTGGATAGGACCTGGAATCAGGTCCAGAAGCAGAAGATGAAGTCTAGGCAGGTGTAATGAATGACACTGGATTGTGTGAGTTTTCTTTTTTCTTCTTAAATCCAGTCAGTGGTTGCTTTGTTTTTCATGTTAACAGGGAAACAGTTTAGTTTCTCGTATATTCTGACTGATGTAACTGATGCTTCTGGGTTTTTTTTCCCTCTTTTAATATCAGGGAAGGCTAGCTATTTTAGTACCTAGTATCGCTTTTGTTATATCCAGTTTATCCACAGTTGTTACAAGGGGATATGCTTTAGTTTTGGCCATACTTCTTGTATATGTATTACTTCTCTAAACTCAAGAGAGAGTTAAAACTGTGCCTGGGCCCCTAGGGGAATTAACACAGAGACAGAAAACAAATACTGCATGTTCTCACTTATAGAGGGGAGCTAAACACAGGGTACACATGGGCATAAGGATGAGAACAACAGTTGCTAATGGGGGTGGGGGGCAAGAACCAAAAGCTGCCTATTAAGAACCATGCTCTCTATTTGGGTGGCAGGTTCAGTAGAAGCCCAGACCTCACGGTTGCACAGTATGCTTATATAACAAACCTGCACATGTACTCTTTGAATCTTTCTTTTTTTTTGAGTTGGAGGCTAGGGTACAGAGGTATGATCATGACTCACTGCAGCCTTGGTCTCCTGGGCTCAGGGCAATCCTTCCACCTCAGCATCCTGAGTAACTGATCTATAGGCATGCACCACCATATCCATCTGTTTTATTTTTTATTTTTGTAGAGATGGAGTCTCGCTTTGTTGCCAAGACTGATCTTGAACTCCTGGGCTCAAGCCATCTTCCCACCTTGGCCTCCCAAAGTGCTGGGATTACAGAGGCGAACCACCGCACCCAACTATACCCCTTGAGTTTAAAACTTAAAAAAATATGCCTGGTCAGACAATTTAGGTTTTATGTGGGAGCTGTGCTTTGGAAGCTGAGCTAAAGCCTGAGAAGGAGCTTGTTCTTTTTGTCCTTTTCCTTGACCAACCCTGGTCTGGGCGTGGTGGTCACAGTCACTCTGGAACCGGGTCACTGCTCAAGGCACAGTGAAGGTGGGTCTTCTCGAAGGCCTTTATCTTGTGTGTGATTCAAATGGTTCTATCCCAGAGTGATGTCTTATGTATTTTGCATCCCTTTCTTCAGGATCCAGTTGGTTTTATAGCTCTCTCTAGCCTCATGAAGCACACAGGGAGTCCTGCTTCCTTTCCGCATATGCTAGTTTTCTGTTTTGGGGACTTCCTTATGCCCCTGGATGCTCTACTGTGTTGCGAACCGGCTTGAACTGAGTCCTGTGGGCATATGGTAGATTTGTGAAGCACACTTCACGCCTGGCACAGCAGAGGGCAGCAGTGGCAAGTTTTGGGTCGCTTCATCTCTGTTGTTTCTTCCACGCTTATCCTCCTCCACATCATGCAAGGCTCTTACCTTTTTATTCAGTTTATATTCTGTATTTTGGGCAGTGCTTCCACTTTTCCCTTTTTAGGAAGGTGCTGAATGAAACAGAAAAAGTCAGGTAGGTAAAAATAGTTCATCAGGTGAAGCGAATAAGTTTGTGTGATATTTAATCCAGGTGGCATTCTAGAGGTGTGACTTGAAAGTGAAACTTTTTTTTTTTTTTTTAATTTGAAGCTTTGGGATGTGACATCAGCAAATGAGAGGAAAAGCATTAATGTAAAGCACTTCTTCCTAAATTCGGAGGACCCGCAAGAGGACATGGAAGTGATAGTGAAATGTTGCTCCTGGTCTGCTGATGGCGCTAGGATAATGGTGGCAGCAAAAAATAAAATCTTTGTAAGTCTGATTTAAAGAAAATGTAAACTTCTATTAATTTTTACATTTGACAGCTCTTACTTGTATAAATGAACTCTGTGTGATTTTGAAACTATGCTCCAGGGCATGTGGATAGCCTTATGAGTAAAGGTCTCTGTGGTCACACAGGTTTGGTGAATATTATGTATTGCTTTCCCCTGTTAGAGGTATATGATCTGAACTAAAATTGAAAGCCCCGGGAAGTCCTACAGTACACAACTGATATGTTGAATCCAGTCGTTCTCAAATGTACTAAAAACATGGAAGACTTTCTGCGTCACTTCTTTTTTTTTTTCTTTTTAACAATTTTGGTTACATTGGTCTAGGTGATTTTTCAAAGTACTTTCTTACCCCTAAAACTGTATCATTTGATGACTGGTGAATAGAAAGACACACCAAGGCTTGAACAAGATTGTGAGATTTTTATGAAATAAATAAACAGTATTTGTGAAAAAAGTAAATGACAAGAAAATGGTTTCTTTTTTTTTCACATCTAATAGCTTATGTTGTAGTGTTCAGCATGCTCTCACATATAATTTATTTTGACATAAATATACAAGAGACAGAAGATTGCAATAGCCCTATAGTAATAATGAAGCTGCTTAAGTTCAGAGCAACCAAATAGTTTGTCCAAAGTTATACTATCATTAGGAGAGCCAAATCTCAGTGACATTCTGTTCTAATTGTCATTTTAAAACATTTGAATAAATAAAGGGTGTTACCATTTTAAAGAGCATAATTGAAACATACAATATAGTTATATAAAGACTCACTGAGGGGAAGTGAGTCTTTATATAACTATAAAGTATTATATAAGTGATCTAGTACTGTGATCCTTGGACCTTGGTTGCTTATGGGTTTGTTCCCTTTAGCAGTAAACTAAGAGGAAAAGCATCTCCTTTTGTCTTAAACATGTTTAAATGTAAGAACAAAAGAAATTACCTCATTTGCAAGATTTGAAGACTAGCATTTTTTTATTATGGTAAAATATATATAATGTAGAATACGCCATTTTAAATACTTTTTTTTGAGTTAGAGACTTCCTCTGTTGCCCAGGCTGGAGTGCAGTGACACTCTCACGACCACCCCAGTGTTGACCTGTTGGACATAGGCAATCCTTCCACCTCAGCCTTCCAAGTAACTGGAACTATAGGGGCACTCTACCACGCCCAGCTAATTTTTTGATTTATTGTGGAGACGAGGTCTCGCCAAGTTGCCTAAGCTGGTCTCGAACCCCTGGGCTCAGGCAATCCTCTCACCTCGGCCTCCCAAAGTGCTGGGATTACAGGCTTCAGCTACCGTGCCTGGCCTTAACCACTTTTAAATGTACAACATATTGCTATTCATGGCATTCACAATGTTGCACAGCCATCATCAGAGTATATCATTGCCCCAAACAGAAACTTTGCAACTGTTAAGTAATGACTCCTCTTTCCCCTCGCTCTCCAGCCCTGGCAGCCTCTAATGCGATCTGCGAATATGCCTGTCGTAGGTATTTCAAATAAGCAGACTCATGGGATATTGGTCCTTTTGTGTCTGGCTCATTGTTGGAACTAATGTTTTCAAGGTTTATTCCTGTTGTAACGTGCATCAGAACTTTATTCCTTTTTTATGGCTGAATAATATTCCATTGTTTGTTTATGCCATATTTTGCTTATCCATTCATCTGTTGATGGACACTTGGTTTGTTCCCACCTTTTTGGCTATTGTGAATAATGCTGCAGTGAACATGGGTGTACAGGTACTTGTCTGAGCTCCTGCTTTCAATTCTTTTGTGTATATACTGAAGAGTGGAATTGCTGGGTCATATGGTCATTCTATATTTAGTTTTCTGACTTTTCCACAGCAGCTGTACCATGTTACATTCCCACTAGTGATGTATAAGGGTTCCAGTTTCTCCACATCCTTGATAACACTTGTTATTTTCCATTTTTAAAATTATAGCCATCCTAGTAGATGTGAAGTGGTGTCTCATTGTGGTTTGATTTACCTTTTCCCAATGACTAGCGATGTTAAACAAAAGATAATTTTCAGAAGATTTTAAAAGGTAGGTTTTAGTGAGAGAGGAAAATAATTTTCTATGGCATGAAATACCTTCTTTTAAAGATCTGTGGAGCAGCTCTCTGTTATAGTTTGCTAGGACAAAGCTACCCTGGGATCACCCTTAACCACATGTAGGCCCCAGATTCTTATTCTTTGTTTTCTCCTTCCTCTTCTTATTTCCTTCCAATTCTCATATAGCTAGTCTGATCCTAATGTTAGGTCTTTTTTCTTTTTCTACCCCATAATTGGGACAACAGCCTGTACCACATTTGCTGAGATTCCTCTATTACTTCCAGCCACTAATTTTTAAAGATGACCTGTCTGGGGAAGCATTTTTTAAAAAATTTCAATAGCTTTAGGGGGTACAAATAGTTTTTGGTTATATCGATGCATTGGATATAGTGGAATAGAAGTCTGGGCTCTTAAGTGTACCCACCCTCCACACCTCTGCACATCGTACCCCACAGGTGATTTTTCGTCCCTTTATCCCTTCCCCACTGCCCCTTCTGAGTTGCCAATGTCCATGATACCATTCTATATGCCTTTCCAGATCCTTAGTTTAGCACCCACTTATAAGTGAGAACATGCGGTGTTTGGTTTTCTGTTCCTGCGTTAGTTCACTTAGAACAATGGTCTCCAATTCCATCCAGGTTGCTGCAAAAGACATTTCATTATTTTTTGTGGCTGAATACTATTCCATGGTTTTGTGTGTGTGTGTGTGTGTGTGTGTCCCATTTTCATTATCCACTGATTAGTTGATGGGTATTTAGGTCGATTCCACATCTTTGCAGTTGTGAGTTGTGCTTCAATAAACATCCAAATGCAGGTGTCTATTTTTCGTATAGTGACCTCCGTTCTTTTGCATAGATATCTAATAGTGGGATTGCTAGATTGAATGGTAGATCTGTTTTTAGTTCTTTGAGAAATCTTCATACTGATTTCTGTAGAGGTTGTACTAATTTGTACTCTTGCCAACGGTGTACAGTGTATAAATGTTCCCTTTTTATCGCATCTGCACCAGCATCTATTGTTTTTTGATTTTTAAATAATGGCCTTTATGACTGGTGTAAGGTGGTATCTCATTGTGGTTTTAATTTGCCTATCCCTGATGATGAGTGGTGTTGAGCATTTTTTCACTGGTTGTTGGCCATTTTACATATGACTTCCTGTCCTCTGCTTTTGATCTCCGATGCTACGCTGCTTACCACCTGTGCTGCCCACAGAGCTGTGCACTCACTGAGCATCTTGGTGGTTCCCGCTGAGTGTTTTCTTTTCTTCTTCCTAAGGACGATGCCTTGGTCTTAAATTACTGTGCTGTATCATTGTATATATTAAGTATAAACCATTTTGGCAAAAATCAGCATTTAAAAAAATCTTTCAAAAATTGAAATGAAACTTAGATTACTCAAAAGTAATTTTTTTCATTCAAAAATAGGAAAATCTTTTTAACTGTAATAAAGTAATTTGGTAGTTTTAGAAAGAAATAGACATGATCAAGCTGATTTTATTTTAGCAAACTTCTGTTCTGTATTATTTTGATCATCTTCACTTATAAGTATATGTTTTCTCTTTTGAATGAACAAATATTGGGGAGAATTACTCTGTATGTTAATTTGGCTAATGCATTCATTTATTAATAAAGGTTTTATTTCTCTCTAGACTAGCTTGAGAAATCATCTGTGATGGATTTCCCTTTATAGAAAATGTTTGAGATGACCAGTATTTTAAAAGTATACATATATATAGACTATTATTTTATTTGTGATTGTCAATTGTTATGCCAGTTATTAGTAATTGTAGTATTTTTTCAGGACTTTATTTTGTATTTTAAATGGGAGGAGATTAGCATAGTTTATTTTTTAAAATATCGTACCTTCATATATCATATATATCTCTGTTTATGTTTATATTGACAGCTTTTTGATATTCATACCAATGACCTTTTGGCAGAAATCCACATAGGCCATCAAAGCACCATCCAGTACTGTGATTTCTCCCCCTACAACCATTTGGCAGTGGTGGCTTTGTCCCACTACAGTGTGGAGGTGAGTGGTTAATTTATTCTGTGATGTGTTGGTCTCCAGAAATCAAAGGATGACAGAGAACGAGCTACTTAAACCATTAACTGCTGAGGACACTTGCTTGCAATGTTATAGGGTATTTTCTTCATAGTCGAAGACCTATAACTTTGGAATATTAAACTATCTAGCCAGCTTTATTACTTTAACAGTGACTGAAGACTTGGTTTGACAGTATAACAGGAAGTTCGCCAGGCATTTACTGAATGCTTAAAATGTGCCAGGGTCTGGAGAAACACTGGAATGACTTCTGGTGACCTAGTCAGAAACATGGTATCTCTCATAGGCACAGACTTCTTTCTCAAAGAAATGATGAGACATGAGTCTGCTCAGAATTCTCAGGTCATTGAATAGGTAGGATGTTCATTGCCAAGCATTAATGAATAAATAACTCCTATAAATTGCTTGTTTATAATTTTGCACGTACCTGTTAAGTTTTACATTCAGAGTTTATACTTAACTGGCCCCAGAAGAATTCCGCCCAGCGAATTGCTACCACTAATTTTTTCAGAAAGCATTTAATTATATTTTTCCTACCAAGATGGATTAGTTTTTCCAAGCTTTCTTACTCCTGTTTCCTTAGGTTGTTTTTACCACCACATAGTTTGAAGCCCCTTTGAGAAAATTGCGGGTCTAAGAAGAGGGTTATGGGCCCCACCTGGAAAATAGGAAGTGTACTTGGTTCACAGGCTCTTCTTCAAGGGAACCTTAAGTGCTGCAAATACTTCCGTGTTCTGTGCTTATTTCAGCAGTTTTTAGTGAGTTTGCCACCCTTGCCCCCTGCTGTGAAGGCTTTGGAAGAGAGTTGCTTACTTGCTAGCTTTTGGGACGGAGGTGCTGGTGGGAGTGAGGTGTGGTCTCTGTAGGCTCTTCCTAATTCTCAGTACAGCACTGAAGAGCACACTGGCTGAGAATCTTCCCACTGCCAGCAGAGGTAGTGAGTGTAAGAAAGCTCCAGTCCTGTTTGAAGCAGTGGGAAGAAGTAGGGTGCCAGGGGCAGAGGCTTTATATGGGACATTTCACTTCTGCTAGAAGATCTTGACCCTCACCTGTAGGATCCTCAAGGTATTTTCCCCTTTGGGTTTGTCTGGATTGTTAGGAGTAGAGTAGTAATCACTCTTTCAGCCTTTGCTTTCACTTCTGAAATCTGTACCCTCTGCTATCCTAAAAGCTCCAGGAAACAGTGTCTACTGAAGTAGAGGGACTTGGTTCTCCAGGCTCTGAGTGACAAAGAAACAGTGGTGGAGAGATGAGGACAGAGTGGGAAGAGGAGAGGATTTCCAAGGGAGAGTTTTCAGTTGTGGAGCCATATTTGCTTCTGGGCTTTAGCCCTGGATGCCCCAGCGTGGGCTTGGCGGTAAGGTGATGATGGTGTCATCTAATTAGGTCATAACTATGGAGCACACTGAGTGGAGACCCCCGGGCATGTGGTCAAGTGTTGGTGTTGTCCATCTAGTTTGAAATTGTAAAAGCACGTTGTAGTTTAATGTGTAATGAGAGGAACTCAGGGGCATGTAACCCTTCTTTAAACTGGAATACACTTGAGTAATTGACAGCAGAACCCAGGACAAAACGCAGCCTGGCTGGTGGCAGATGTTGACAATTTGTGATAAGCATGAATAACAAGAGGACTGTATACACATTACAAGTAGTGCATTTGTTTGTTATAGGGTTTTGCGATCCATTAAAATGAAGGTTAGAGGAAAATAGTCTGAATGTGGAAGCTGCTTATGTTCATCCTGTTGTTTTTTTAGAGTGATTGTTTTTTGAAAAGAGAAGACATTTGCATGACTCCAGAGTCAAAGCTTTGTAATAAGTTATCTTCAGAGAAGTTTTGCTTTCACCCCTTTCCGTGCTCTCTTTATCCATCCTTCCCTGTGGTAACCATTTTTACTTTTGGTTTGCTCTTCCAGTGTTTCTGTTGGCACATATAAGCAGATACCTGCATGCATGTATCTATCCCTATCTATGTCCATCTGTGTGTTCATTTATTTATTTCTCCACCTCCTATTTAGAAGGTGTACTGTAGAGTACATATACTCTTCTGCACTTTGCTTTTCTTGTTAACAGTGTATCCTAGAGATTAGTCATTATGAGGGTGATTTTCTCATTCCTTTTAATGGCTGCATGGTATACCATTATGTGATTAATGTATTTTATGCAGTTGGTTCCCTACTGATGGATATTTGAGCTGTTTTAGTTTTTTGCTATTAAGGATGATAATGCACTAAATAATCTTATGCATAAGACTTATTTTTTGAATCGGGGTCTCACTGTCACCCGGGCTGAAGTGCAGTGGCATGATCACAAAGATCACAGCTCACTGCAGCCTTGACTTCTTGGCTCATGCAGTCCTTCCACCTCAGCGTCACGAGTGGCTGGGATGATAGGCGTATGTCACCACGCCTGGCTAACTTTTCTGTTTTTTGTTTTTGTAGAAACGAGGTTTGGCTGTATTGCCCAGGTCGTTCTCAAACTTCTGGGCTCAAGCAGTCTGCCTGCTTCAACCTCCCAAAGTGAGGGAATGATAGGCATGAGACACTGCGCCTGGCCCATTTTGTGTTTTTGATAGTGTGTTTTGGGCTATATTTATCAAAATGGTATAGCTGAGTCATTCTTGCTATTTTCAGTATTCTTGCTGTGTTCAAAATGTTTATGAATTTGATTTCCTGTGTGCTGTGTTTATTCTTTAGTTGTGGAATATAGACTCATGTTCAAAGGTGGCTGATTGCAGAGGACATTTAAGTTGGGTTCATGGTGTGATGTTTTCTCCTGATGGATCATCATTTTTGACATCTTCTGATGACCAGACAATCAGGGTGAGAAATACTGAGATTTTCATTTTAAGTATTTACTGATGGTGAGCTAAACTTTCTACAAACTAAGAAATTGATGGGTAGCACTGATGAAAGTAAAACAGAAAACTACTAGATTAATATTCACCCTGGAAAAGTGCTATTTATGTGGACTATGGCCATTTCATTTCTCTACTACAAGTTCATTGATTACCGTGGGCCATGTGCTATGGGGAGTCTAATGATTAAATTGTGTTTTGATTAATTTAAATAAATCAAATTTGATTCTTCAGCGTGTTTTTTGTTTTGTTTTGTTTTGTTTTAGAGACAGGGTCTTGCTCTTTTGCCCAGGCTAGCATGTGGGGGTATGATAATAGCTCACTGCAGCCTCTAACTCCTGGGCTCAAGAGATCATCCCACCTCGGCCTCCTGAATAGCTAGGATTACAGACACATGCCACCGCACCTGGCTAAGTTTTTTTTTAAATTAAATTTTAGAGACAGGGTCCCACTGTGTTGCCCAGACCAGTTTTGAACTCCTGGCCACCTCAGGCGATCCTCCTGACTCCCGAAGTGCTGGTTTAGGCATAAACCACCAGGCCTGGCCTCTCAGAGTGATTTTTACTCTTTCCTCTTCAGTTCATTTCCACATCCAATGACTTGGCAATTCCGATTGATTCCCCCTTTCCGTTTTCTATCAATGATCCGTGTTCCCATTCCTGCTGCCCAGGTTCAGGGCTTCTTCGCCTCTTGTCTTTGTTGTATCAGTCTCTGCCACAGGTCTTCTTTCTTGCTTTTCTACATGTTGCTTTCAAGATTTTTTTTTTTTTTGCAAGGCAAAGCAAAAGAGTTTATTCACATTCAGGATGGGTCTTAATGTGGCCTATGCTGTGAGCAATGTGGCAAGGTATTTTTTTCATGTCCAAAATAGTCATGTCATTTTTGCTCCAAAACATGGCTCCCTTGTCTGCCAAAGTAAATATAGACTTCTGTGTCTCCCATTAAGTTCGCTCATGGCACAGCCAGTCTACCTTTCAGTGTATTCCTGTAGGGAACCTACCCTGAGTGCCCACATTTTCCAAACACCCCGGGTTCCCTGCTTCTGTACTTTTGCTTCAGTGGTTTCTTATGCTTAGAACACCATGCTTCCCACTTTGTGGAAATCCTAAGCATCTTGCAAGTTTTCCCCATTTGGGGGAATGTCTGTCTCCCTAAATGCCATGTAATTCCATGTCTTTTTTCTAACGGTGCTTATCCAGTTCTGACTTGACGTCAAGTGCAGATTTGACTTGCTGCTCACTTCCACTGGTCCACTGTTCCTCTGACCTATCCACGCATCTTAGATTATAAGCCCTTTGACACCAGGGACCTTGGTGGGTCCCTGTAGCACCCAATTCAGCATTTTATACAAATAATAGCCAAAATTTACTTGGTGCTTATTGCACGTCAGACATTGCACAAAGTACTGCATATGAATTAATTTACAAATTCTCACAACAATCCTTTTTGCAGCTGAAGAGACAGACACCGAACAGCCAAGAAAGGTCAGGGCTATTTCATGTGCCAGTCTCAGTGCACTTGAGTCAGAATATAAATCAGTGCACTGCTTTCTTCATCAAGAAAGTCTTGTTAAAAATAATCTGCATCACTAAACATGTGGCAGCACTGAGCATACTGTTACAGTGTATTTAGTGATGCAGTTGATTTGCATTCTGGAGGGAGCATCTTATCCCCTTGTTGATTGGTATCAGATGTTTAAGATACCAAGTATCTTTGAGTGGCACTTATCTTTGGACTCTACATACTTATCTTATCTTTGAGTGGCACTGACACTGGGTGAACTGTCCTGCCCGAAGTGGCAACTTTACGTAGACCTAGAATTCACACTGAGGCATTTTGGCTCTAGAACCCGTAACTCTTAATACAAACTGCTTCTTACTATAGATGGTGTTAATAAGCATTTACTGTTGGATTATAACCTAATAGTTGAACAATTTCTAGCATCATAGGCATTTTAATTGTGAAACTTAGTTTGTATCTTCTTCAGGATGAAGACTTATCTTTACATTATTTTGAAGACTGGGCTAATAGTTTCCTTATCTCTTAATCAGCTCTGGGAGACAAAGAAAGTATGTAAGAACTCTGCTGTGGTGTTAAAGCAAGAAGTAGATGTTGTGTTTCAAGAAAATGAAGTGATGGTCCTTGCAGTTGACCATGTAAGACGTCTCCAAGTGAGTATTTTTTTTTTTTTTTAAACAACTGGAAAAAATTGTTTTGGTCGAATTCATCATTTACAATTTTTCGTGATTGTTTATTTGGACTTGGGATTAGGCATAATTATATTGTATTTAACAGGTGCCCAGTAGGCATCTGTTGAATAAATATATAGGTTTTGAACTGAGGCTCAGACATGCATTTAGATTTAAATTAGGTAACACCTTACTGGCCTGCTTTTCTGTTGGTATCTGTGATCTCATTCCTTGATTTGCATGGCATTTAGGAATAACATGAGCATAGACTTCAGCTGGTCCACAAGAGCGGTTCAGACATGTCTGATGGAATGCAAAGGGGTGGAAGAGCGTACCAATGGACACATTTTTACAGGGAAGGATAACAGAGTCTTTGAAAGAACAGAGGTCACCGTAAGTGAGGAATGAGTCTGACTCATTGGAACTGAGGTCTATAAATACTGAAGTACACTGTTCGTTCATTTACTTATACCTTTGTTCAGCAAATATTTTCTGAATCTTGTCATGGTCCTTGAGAAGGAAAGGGTTGTGCAGTAAAATGGGAATACATTGTGTGGAGTAGTGCTGTTTGCCCCCAGCAAAACACAGGAGAGGAAGGCATTTCTCAGCTGCTGAAGGGAAGAGGAATCCCAGTGGTCCATTCGCAGAGGAGTAGTGTTCAGAAGCTCTGAGCGGTGATCACAGAGAGAGCAGATGCCCTGAGGAGCTCGGAGTTCAAGAGCCGGTTTGCACTGCTGTGCTGCTGCCTGGGTAGTGTCGTCTGAATGGCAGTCCAGTGCAGTTGGCTTACATTGGCAGAGGTGTCCTGGCAGGAGAGGTGGCATTGTAGGCAGTGGCCGTGAGAGCAAGCCGACTCCTCACGGAAGGCCCGGCATGGGAGGCTGCCTGCATGGTGGCTGGCCCACGCACAAGAGCTGGGGAGGGGACCCTTGTGGGAAGCGTCAGTGTGTTTTTTGATTTTTTTTTGTAGAGCTGAGGTCTTGCCGTGTGACCCAGGCTGGTCCCCAACTCCTGACCTCAAACAGTCCTTTTGCCTTGGCCTCCCAAAATTCTGGGATTACAGGCATGAGCCACTGTGCTTGACCAGAGTTTAACCAGTTCAAAAGCTACACAGCTCAACTTGGTTTTGTGAAGAGATCAGTGACTTTCACTCAGATCCAGGTGCAAGTTCAGACTGTGTCTTTAACTAGTTCTTGATGCTGAGTAAGCTGCCATCACCTCTCTGAGCCTCAGTTTCTTCGTTTGTCAGTCCTTTTCATCTCCAGCAGTCTGTGAGCTAGTTACAGGGTCAAGGTAGGATTCAAATTCAGGAGCTAGACACCTGGGAGTACATTGTCTGGCATGTGGTAACTTCTCATCTGCTGTGGGGGCCAGAGTCAAGCTCTGGGGTACCCCCAGATATGACCTGTTGTGTATTTTGCAAGTTTTACTGTTGTCCTTCTCATGCCGATTAGGAGCTTCTTACATCCTGTATTTCCGGGGTGTGTTGGGATGTGGAAATGAGTGTGAAATGCTCATTAACTGGTTTTTAGCAAGCTGATTCTTCCACTTGGGATTTTTTTTTTTTTTTTTTTTGAGTTGGAGTCTTAGTCCATTGCCCAGGCTCTGGAGTGCAGTGGCATGTTCATGGCCACCCCAGTGTCAACCTGCTGAGCTCCGGCAATCTTCTGCCTCAGCCTTCCAAGTAGCTGGAACTACAGGCATGTGTTACCACGCCTGGCTAATTTTTGATTTATTGTAGAGACAAGGTCTGGCCAAGTTGACTGGGCTGGTCTCAAACCTGCGGGCTCAGGCAATCCACTCCCCTCGGCCTCATAAAGTGCTGGGATTACAGGCTGAGCCACCGAGCCCAGCCCTGGGATATTTTCCATTGCAGTTTTTTTTTTTAATCAAATTCAGTGTTTTCATGCTTGCATTTCCTTTGTTTAATTTATGCAGCTTTCTTTAACTGTTGTTATAACTGTGAGACTTAAAAAATGTAAGTCAGGCTGGGAGCTGAGGCAGGAAGATCTCTTGAGCCCAGGAGACTGAGACCAGCTTGGGCAACATGGTGATACTTTACTTTGTCTCTACAGAAATTAGTTTAAAATTATTTTTTTAAGAATGAAAGCAAAAGTCATCTGACTGCCAAAGTATCATTTTATGTATATGGTTGCGGGAGAGTTTAGAGGATAGTTAAACTGACAAATAGTAGTTTCATCTAAGTGAAGAAAACATTTTTTAGTTATTACTTAGAAAGAGCCCTTGAAATTGATTCTTGAGAGAAGGAAGATATTTTATTAGTTCAGTCTTCATTTTTAATATCTAATACATCAGAATATACGAGGTGAAATATTGTAAAGGAAAAGCTACCTGCGATTGATTGACCCGGTAATCTTCATACCTGAAATAAAGATGACTGCTTATTTCATGTTGAAAAACAGTTTACGATTTTTAGGTTATGACACTGTTGTGGAGAGGTATCTGACAGTTGATTTCAGCTTAATAAATATTTTTCCAGGTCATGTGTTTTAGTGGATATAATAAGGCATATTTGTGGGATTAAAAAAATAATCATTAGCGTTAGTACAGATTATGAAATTGGGTGATTTTAGTTTAAGCATTGTTAAGTCCAGCCAAATTATGCTTCTGGGTTCTTCTCCAGTGCCCTTGCCCATATCACCCAAGGGGACAGTCTTAATTTATACAGTGTTGCAAGGGAGTTGGAAGAGCCTCCACTTTTATTTGGATTTGTCTTTTTATGTCTGTCTCAGGCTCGTTTCGCCAACCTCCTTGAAGAATAACAGAAAAGTATCTTTTAACAAATGTTAGCCCTATTAAAAATGAGCTTTGTCGCAGGGCTTGGTGACTTAGACTGTAATCCCAGCACTTTGGGAGGCCAAGGCAAGTAGATTGCCTAAGCCTGCAGGTTCGAGACCAGCCTGGGCAACTTGGCGAGACCTTGTCTCTACAATAAATCAAAAATGAGCTGGGCATGGTAGCATGGGCCTGTAGTTCTGGCTACTTGGAAGACTGAGGCGGAAGGATCGCTGGAGCCCAGCAGGTCGGAGCTGGGGTGGCCATGAGCGTGCCACTGCACTGCACTGCAGCCTGGGTGGCAGAGTGAGATTATAATTCAAAATTTATAAAAAAAAAAGAGCTTTGTGAAGAAAGGAATGCAGGATGGGATTGCAAATCGGACAGATGTGTCTCAGGCGGTGGACACAGCAAGCTGCTTTGTAAACCTTGAGAGCTCATTTTATTTAATAGGAATATACTTGAGCCACTAATGTGGAATGAAATGGAATCATGAAGAACTAAATGCAGCTGCTAGGACTAGGGTATGGCTTTGTTGTTCCCTTGGGTACTCTTGTGGGTTATTTTCTGTGTTTTATTTTTTCAATTGAAGCCTCTGTTCTAAAGAACAAAAACTGCTCTTGCAGCCTATTAACTGATTGTGTCTCATTTTTCATTAGCTCATTAATGGAAAAACTGGTCAGATTGATTATCTGACTGAAGCTCAGATTAGTTGCTGTTGCTTAAGTCCACGTCTTCAGTACGCTGCATTTGGAGATGAAGATGGTGCTATCGAGGTACTCTGTGTTGGTCTTAGAGTCTTTTTATGCATTAAGACTGTTTTCTAAAATTAATTAATTTTATTGTGAACTGTCCCAGAAACAGCCGGATATTGCATGCTTTCACCCGTAAGCAGGCCCTGATCACTGGTCACACACGCACAAGGGTAGATGCAGATGCGGGACACTGCAGGGTAGGAGGGAGGAGGTGGGGGAACAGTGGCCACGCACTGGGTACCAGGTCCACTCTCGGGGAGAGAAGGCCAGCTAGAAGCCTCAGCTCACCTGCATGCAGCCTGCTTGCATAGTAAATCCCCACTTGTACCTCACAACTCTAAAATTAAAAAAAATTAAAAAATAATATCAGTGATACGTCTGGCATTGTGCACTTACATACTCAGCAAATCTTTCTATGAGGTGTTAGTCCTTGTTCTGCTATGCTAAAAATCACCTAATTGGTTGTATATTTTTCTGATTGCCGTTATGACTGTTTCTTGTGCTTTTTGTCCTTTTGTGTCCCTTGCTCTGTCTACCTAGTTGTTTTGCTGTCCTCCACATACATCAAGGCTAATTGTGCAAAGCGTTTTTCCAGCCACGCGGGTATCAGTTGTTTTCCTTGGATGCTGACCGGGCTCGTTGGGAGCAGCAGTGCAGACCTCCTGTGCTGCCTGTCCCTGGTCCCTGCCGCTTAGCTCTTGGGGCAGGATGCCAGGTCACCACCTGAAGTCCTTACCTCATCCGAGATCAAAGAAGTGGAGAATCAAGTTGTAAGGCAAAAAATGTCGTATAATAAAAACCATCTTGGAAAAGGATATTGTCATTTTTGTCACAAAGCAAATTCATCAGAAGAGCACATTTTCTCTATTTAATAGCTTTTCAAAAACATTGGCTCTTTGTCTCACTTTTTCTCACCCAGGCTTCTGGTATTTCTGTATGTATGTATGTATTTTTTGAGTTGGGTCTCACTTTGGCACCCAGGTGGGGATTCAGTGGCATGATAGTGGCTCACTACAGCCTTGACCATCTAGGCTCAGGTGATCCTTCCACCTCAGTCTCTCAAGTAGCTGGGACTACAGGTGTACACCACAATACCTGGCTAATTTTTAAATTTTTTTGTAGAGACTAGGCCTCACTATGTTTCCCAGGCTGGTCTTGAACTCCTGGACTCAAGCAGTCCTTTTGCTTCAGTCTCCTAAATTGGGGATTACTGGCATGAGCCACTGTGCCTGATTGTATTTCTTAATTTATTAATTATGGCACTAGCCATATTTATCTTACCTTGCATTCATTTTCATAAGGGATTACATAAATGTTCTTCAGACCATACTGCCCCACAGAGATACTTTTATATGCTTACATATAAAATGAGGAAGGAAGCATTTGGAAAGTGATGTCAGTGCTGTTGTGTATTTGTTAGGGCCCTGGTGGGAGTTAAGGCTTTGTTTATTCTTTATTTTTCTTTCTTTTTTTTCCTGTCATGAGGTTCTCATAGTTTGTTGTTGTTGCTGCTGTTTGTTTATTTTGTTTGTTATCTTTCTTTTGATTTTTGGTTGATTCATGTGTGTTTTCGATCTTTTTCATATATTCTTGAGAAGAATGTTGTCATTCTTTTTTTTCCTTTCTTCTGTGTTTAATACCTAAGTGTTTCTTGTAGAGCTGGAGTTGGCATAAACTCTTAGGGATTGAATGTCTGAGAAGGATTGTAATTATTCACCACTGATGAAGTTTAGCTTAGCTGGTTAGGTAATTCTTGGTTGAAATTGTTTATCTTTGAGAACTTTGAAGATTGGGCTCCAAGCTCTCCTAGCCTGAAGTGTTTCTGTGGATAGTCTGCCGCTATTGTAATTGGTCTTCCCCGGTAGGTAGTCTGACCTTTCTCTCTTGCTGCCTTTGGAATTTTTTCTTTTATACCTACTTTGTATAGGTGAATTACTATGTGTCTAGGAGTTGGTCTTCTAATTTGTTGTCTTGCAGGGGTTCTCTGAATCTCTTGTGTTTGAATGGCTGTATCTCTGATGAGATGAGGGAAGTTTTCTTGGATAATTTCATGGAATGTTTGTTCTAAGGTGGTCTCTGTCTCTCTATCTGCCTCAGGGATTTCAATTAATCTTAGGTTCGGCCTCTTGAAATAACCACTCATCTCTTGGAGGTTTTGTTTTGTCTTTTTAAGCTTCTTTTCTATGTTTTTAACCGTTGGGTTAGTTTCATATTTTGGTCCTTAAACTCTGAGATTCTTTCTTCTGCTTGATTCTGTCTTCCATGCTTATCAGTTTATTATTTATTTCATGCACTGTATTCTTTATTGCTGTTATCTTAGTTATCAACTCCTTCATTCTTTCCTCTTATATCTCCTTATTTCTATTTGTTCTCTCTATTAATATCTTGATATCTGTGTTTGTGGTTTGAGACTGGTCATTCTTGGGGCTCTTCATTGTTTGCTTTCCGAAGTTTGTACTCTCAGTGGTTGACCTCCCAGGGGTCTGTGTGTGACCTATATTCTTCCTTTGTTTTTTCTTCATTTGTGTAGATTTCCTCATTTTTTAAAAACTTCTTTAATTCTGTTGTTCAGGGATGGAGGATAGCTTTTACTTGTATTTGCTTAATCTCCTCCTCTTCCTTATGTAGATCCTCTGGCTTTGTTCAATTCTGAAGATGGACTGGGGGTGGGGAGCTGTACTTTTTGCAGTTTTGAGATTTAATTGAGGACGAGCTGTGATTCAGAAAGTATCTGCAGATCCCAGTATCCACTGGCAGGTGTGTGGCCCCCCTAGAACCCACTTCCCACAGCCTTACAATCTGTCCATGCAGCAGGGATATGTTTGCCCCCTGAAGGCAAAATGTAGTAAGAAAAAGGAAAAAAAAAAGGAAAAGGAAGGAGGAAGATGAGAGGAAGGTGGAGAGAGAAAGAGGAAAAAGAGGGAAAACAGACAGACATACCAACTAACAAATGGACAGAAACACAAAGACAGAAAAGATTAAAAAAATACAACCATACAGACACAAATTGACAAAAAAACCCCCTATTGATATCCTCTCCCTCAAAAATACTCATATACAAACAGGAAGTCTAAAAAAAGCGTTAAAATCACAGAAACCAAGCAAATATGAAAACAATCAAAAACAGAAAGAGAGAAGAGGAAAACCACCAAACAAAAAGCAACACAAAACTGCGCTGAGAGCCGGGCTCGGTGGCTCAGCCCGTAATCCCGGCCTTTGGGAGGCCGAGGTGAGTGGACTGCCTGAGCTCGCGGGTTCGAGACCCGCCGGGGCAGCGAGACCTCATCGCTACCATAAATCAAAAAGTCAGCCGGGCGTGGTCGCGCGCGCCTGTAGTTCCGCCGCTCGGAAGGCGGAGGCGGAAGGGTCGCCGGAGCCGGCGGGTCGAGGCTGCTCCGGTCTGGGCGACGGGCTGAGACTCCGACTCAAAAACCAGAAGAAGGCTGCTCGGAGGCG